GTTCTGGATCAACGACCGAAGGAGAAGCGTCATCTCCAACGCGCATTTCGCGAGCGATGCATTCGCTGGACGACGGTGCGAAGCGACAGAAGTTTATCGAAGTTACGGAAGATCGAGAGAGAGAGTCGCATGCTACGCGCACGTTCGCGATTATTATCGCGTCGAATGAATTCAACGGACGCGCGTTTAATGCAATTAATTACACAACTATCGGCAAGCGGAAAGTTACTTGAAGAGTAAGTAGCGTTGGTCGAGTGCAGTCATGTTTTAATTTTGGATCGAAGGTCTTCGCGCGAGAGACGATGTATGTTAAGGTAAAAGAAAACGGCGCACAGTCTCGGCTGCACAGCTGCATCAGTCTAGTTTCATCGAGTTACGGTTTGGACGATAAGAGAAAAAAAAAGATCACCAGCCGTCGGCGGGGACGGAAGAATGTTCCACCGTGTTCGCGCCGATGTGTGAATCGACGTGCCTCCGAGGGAAGGCGTGTATCGTCGCGGTGTGACGTGCGTTCCGTAGGAAACCGCGTTTCCGCCGCACTAGTTTCAGCAAGAAACTCTTAATGCTGACGTCGAGCTTCACCGTGAACGCGAACTGCGAATTCTGTGAGAATCCGATGTTCGTAGACAACGAGACTCTCGGGTTTTGGCGAGCCTAAGCGCATCGCGCCATTTGCCGCAGACGGGATAGTAAACTGAAACGGACGCGTTACATTGCGTCCGAATGCGCGACGAAAACGATCCCGTCTGCCGCGTGCGGAGAGCGAATCAACTGAAATTGTGAATCAATGTCCGCCCGGTGTCCCGGACATTTTCGTCGATCGTGAAGCGTATAGCATCTCGCAGCGTGGAAATATAACTGACGTAATTAACCCCCGGCAATAACATGCTAGGCCTGCGAGGCCTGCACGGCGTTTTCCTCCGCTTATCCCCTCTTCGTTTGTGCAACACATCATATCCCACTCTGATTCCTCCGTTATTCAGAAAAAAAAGTTCGGTCAACGTGTGACCGCTGCTACTATCAGTCTGATCCGGTGAGATTCGTATGGTTTCTTGACGACGATCCAATCTACAAAGACAATGAATAAAAATTGACAATTAACTTGATAATTCGTAAGACCAAAGAAATACAGAAAACCACGATTTTTGCCATTTCCTGATGTAGACCTGATAATGTTGCCTATAACGTTACTTGGTTACAGGTAATTGCAATGGTTAGCTTCAGCTTCAAGATCGCGGGTGTTGCTCTCAAGGTTAACACGACTGTTTCATAACTGGCGCGATTATAAATGGAAATTATATCCATCAAATTGTTGAAAAAAACGTGAGAAACGCTCACTCGAGCTCATTCGCATTGGACTTCGCAGTCGATTCTAGAAAGGTAACGCGGCGCACCGCTAACGATCCTGAGGTCGTTCACACGACAAACCTACAATATCGGTCACGTGTTTAATAATAACCGCTTTGTTTCAATGTCCGGAAACTTCTGAGCAGATTAGAAGCAAAAATCGCTCGAGTGTTTATTTTATTACGTGAAAGCGGCCGGATAACGATAAGCCGGCACTCGAGGGGTCCCGAGATTAAAGTTCTACGCCGAAACGTACGAATCGTCAAATCAGATGAGTAATGACCTCACCGTCCAAAGTTTCACCTGTACTCGAAAGATATCCTCACCTTGCCAATCTCGGTCGGCTGTTTTTGCTAATGAGATCTTAAAATCTCATAAATTATATATATAGGTTCCCTAATGGACGCGTGCGAACGTTGCCTCTTGAAATTGGTGGTCTTCGGATCAACCGGGAAAATGATACGTAATAGGATGTTAAGCGTCGCGATAATGACGATAATTAAGTCGAATCTACGCACGTACAGCGACAGGATGGAAAATAGTCGGGGGATCGTTCGTCTACCTGGACGTGTTAATCGCTACTTTGTTCCAACTCATTTTGCAAAGCTATCTCACGAGGAGGGGAAAAAAGCATTGACCCAAATATGACGGCGCGTGTTTATCATTCAATTTCCATAAAACCTTCAATCCGCCGGTAGAGTTTAAAAACTAATACGCTTTGCGCCTGGAATAATCCTATTACGGTTTTGCAGTAGTAAATTAATCCTTCCTCTTCTCCCTCTCTCTCTCTCTCTCTCTCTCCCTACAGAAGGTACAGAGAGTCGCAGAAAGAAAAGAGAGCGCCGTTTTCGCCAGGTATGGCGGGGATGCGTGCATACTCTGCACCGGCTCGGGTACTCAGATATCGTTTGTCCGAATGCGGTTCCCCATATTTGGACAGGTCGCACCGTACCGGACGAATAAATATGCTCAAATAGGTCAGACGTCGGTTTTACATACGAGCGGCGCGAAAATTCAACTTCGATTCGAAAATGCAGCTGGCACTTTACAACGTGCCGTGGAGTTGTTAAAGCGATTTCTTCGTAAAAGTTTCGCGGCCGACGGGTGGCGCGCATCGCGTTCAAATCAACGCGATCTGTCGCGAGCGCGTCGCAATAAAATACGAGTAACTCGGCGTCCGCGTTCCGCCAGTTTTCTCGTTCGTATTATCGAAGTTTGGTACAAAGGTGGTGGTACAAAGTCTCCCCGAGGATCGTGAATGTGTTGATCAAAATTGATATCAAATTTCGCCGATCGTGCCGCGTGTGAGCACGCATAATTATAGCCGCGAAGAGGCGCAATAACTCAGGCGAGAGCGCATACGTCTCCGTCCCACAATGCATTAATCGATTAACTCGCGGCGGCTTCGTGACTGATTAATTAGACTCTGAACTTTAAGTATCCGTGAGTGCAGAACGAGCGCGGCTATCAGCGGCAGGTACGAAGCAGGTCGATGACCTGAGATGCAGGTGTATCGCGGCGAGCGGCTTGATCCCGAATCGAAGTGCCGCCGCCGAGGAAAATCCATCGTGGGAAACAAGCGAAGCGGACGAAGCGGCCCTCTCGCCGAGGGAAATGCAAAATTATCGAAGAAAACGATCCGACACGTGGCGACGAGCGGCTGTGCGGCTGAACGGGCTGAAAAAATGTGAATCCTGCGAACAACAGATACAGCTGCACCGATAAACGATAAAATATAATCTACGATTTTGTTTTTTACTAGACTACACTGAACGCGCTTCCTCCGATAATCCCGTCCTCTTGCCTCTCCATCGTGTATTCATCATGGGACGTGCGACCTCGGTTAATTATCACACGAAATATTAATCGCACCAATAACGGCCGACGTGGGCATTTTCTTCGTAATTTCATAACACTCCATTAGCAAAGCGAATAACAGCGGTATCGATGAATTGAGAGCCCGCGATCAGTGCGTCAACGCGTGTTTGCGTAATTACGCACTTCATTACGAAGCTTACCGAACACTGGCGTCCGTGGGATGAATGCAGCCGCGATTAAGATTAATTGGGTTTACGCGCGACTCTTTTTGCGCGCATTATTGCGACCGTCCGAAAAAGCGTCGCGATTCGTCCGTCCGTGCACGTCTGACCAAATGACCCGGAGGACTCGATAAACTCGGCATCGGCGCAAAGTCATCGATCGGCACAATTCACGAATTATGATGCAAGCGGCCGATTATCAGCCCGTTATTTCTTCGCGGCGCGCGGCACGTACGTATTCGCAGGCCGTGTGTAATCTGCCCGGTGAAATATATTTCGCGCGGGTCAGCGTATTCGCGCGAGCGGAATAATATTTTCGACCGCGGCGGGCCCGCTCGTAACGAAACTCGTTACCCGCCTTCGGCAGAAGCCGAAAAGGTACGCGATATCCTTCCGAGCCGCGCGCGCGTACGGCCGCTACCTTCGGTTATCTCTCTTCGCTTTATCTCACTTTCACGAACTGATTATCAAACGGCAAAGTGCAATTGCAAGATATCGCCGCTTCGATTACGGACGACTGGACAAATAGATTTTGTGGAAAAAAGAAAAAAGAAAAACAGAGCCGTATCTAACGCCGTGGTGCGTCTAACGGCGAGCGGATTGAGCGCCCGCGAGTTCCCCAAGTGCAAGTTACCGCGAGCGATCGTTCGCGCGCTCACTGTGTCAATCGGCTGGAATCGTCGGACGCGACTCTCCCGCTCAATTTAGCGTAACGGTCGAGCGCCGAAGCCGAACGACATATCGGGTGCATTCGGTATTCCGTACACGGGAGAACGCTGAACTCGCCGAGCGAACGTTCCGTCCTGGAAAGCGTTTACCCATATATCGCTGATATTACCGGCTAAACTGTATTTCCGATCGAGGGAGACCGACACCGATGTGGACTCGATTAAATTTCAATTAAACCTGAAGGGTGGGAATCGAAGAGAGAGACGAGGAACCTGTACCAGGCTCGCAAGCAGCGAGCGACGGCACTCTCGTGCGAGGAACGGAGGCAGTGCGACGTCCTCGAGGCGGAGAGCCTCGCCGGGACGGCGCGACACGCAGCGTCGCGCCGCGACGTCTGCGCGACGGCCGGACTCGCTCCTGCCGCGTTGGCTCACGCCGGCGTCTCCCACCACCAGGGTGGTAGGAATAGGACCCCTACGGGGGGCCCGTGGTGGGAGCTGGACCCCACCAGCGCCCCTAGGGCGAGAGGCCTCGTGGTCTTCGGCCAACGAGATAGCGGTACGAGGGGTCCGCCTTCGCACCCCCAACGGAAGTGTCCACCACCCCGGACGCGCTCGCAACCCACGCTCTATCCCCACCGGATTGCTCCCCGATGATCACCGAGAGGCGTCCCCCCCACCCTCCGGCGTCCTCGGCGCTCCTCTCTCTGTCCATTCGGACACCTCCCTCCCTCGTGCCAAGGGTCCGCCGCGGGGCCGCCGCCTGATGAGTCACTATATAAGACAGGCAAGGACAAGAAGGTGTATGTTAGTACATACTCAATCCTCCCGTAGCTCGCACGCTTTACAACGTGGCGAGCGGCGGCAAATTCGGCTGCGGCGGTGACCGACTTTTCTCTCTCTTTCTCTCCCTTCTCTCTCTCTCTCCTTCTCACACACACACATATACTCTCTCTTCTCCCTCGTTTCTTCTCCTCTTGACACTTCCTCTCTCATCCTTTCATCTCTCCCTCTCGCCCTGTCTATTCGTCAACCGTACGTCAAGCCCGCGACTTTTCGGATCTCCCTCTTCCTAGTGCACGCCCTTGGGTCCTAGTAGTGTATCCTCCCTCGCCGCGGCGCATCGCGTCACTTCTGTCGCGACAACGGGAGTAGCGGGATCAGAGCCTCAGAGCCTGGAGGAGAAGCGTTATCCGTTCACGGTCGAGGAGGCTAAAACTGTGTTTCTTCGCTTCTTTCCGAGAGATCTTTTTTCTCCGGTTTTATCGGGAGATTAAGAGAGAAGAGAGCGCCGACGATAGAGACTTCTCGCGCGGTATATATACGTCAAGTGGTAATCGCGAGCTGACAGACACTCGAGGACGCCGCAAGCACTCGGACGTATATCGGGATCACGATCGACCGCGATCGGCTCGAGATGATCGTGGAACACGCCGCACAGTGGATCAGGGAGGTGTTGGCTGGGACCCGGCTGGACGCTCTCTACAGCCTTCTCGTGTTCCTCACCGTTCTTCTGATAGTGAAACACGTTCAGTGGCTCAAGTACATTCGGGACCTGCCGCCTGGACCGTGGGGCCTGCCGATTACCGGTTACCTGCCGTTCTTGAAGCGGCAGGATGTACACCTGCAATTCTGCGAGCTGGCGAAGAAGTACGGCTCGATATTCAGCCTCCGCCTCGGCACGCAGAACCTCGTCGTGCTCAGCGACCACCGGCTCATACGTGAGGCGTTTCGACGCGACGAGTTCACCGGCAGGCCGCACACCGCGTTCATCGACATCCTCGGAGGATTCGGTGAGTGTCGAGCGCAGCAGATTCCGATAATGCGCTTTATCTACGCGACTTTACCGCGGTCTCGGCGTATCACCGGCGGGAGGGGAGAGGGTTAAAGCACTCTGCGACTCGTTCTTTCGTCTCTCTCTCTCTGTCTCGCGCGCGTTTCCACATTCCGCCGGGTGCGTCGGCAATTTTTCACTCGTATCGTCACCACGACTGTCGCGCATGATATGTTTCCTCCAGTTCGACGGAGAGGGTGGTCCGTCCAGTCGCGGTGAAGCAAGCTCGATAAAGCGAAACTTAGCTCGAGCAGGGAAAACTTCTTCCCGGCTGGATTTTCTTCCGCTATCGTTTCTGTTCCCCGAATCGTGGCATTTCCGACCGGCTGAACGTTTCCACCGCCGTTGCTTCTCGGTCAATGCTAACCTGCGCTCTCCGCGAGCTCTGTCGCAATCGATCGTCCGTGGGCAGATCGGCACCGCGGAGTTGAAACGAGTCCGCGGATGACGCGCCGCATACGAGAGTTCCCCGCGCGATTCAGCATCGTGTCCGTTGCTGTTGTAGGCATTGTCAATTCCGAGGGTGAGCTGTGGAAGGACCAGAGGAAATTCCTCCACGACAAGCTGAGAAACTTCGGAATGTCGCACATGGGCGCCGCCAAGAAGTCCATGGAATCCAGGATCAAAGTGAGTGCCGAATTCGCTCGATTTACCGCGCGCGACCTCTCTCTCTCTCTCTCTCTCACACACACGCTGCAGCAGACATCGGCAAAGCTTTCGAACGGAACGCGCACTTGAGAATTGTACATTCTCTCTCTTTTTCCCGCGATATCATCGAACGTGCTCAAATAGTGCTTATTTCCGATAACAGAACGGCTCTTTTGATCTTTAGCGGAAAAAAGTTGAAAATCCTTCTGTCGTCCCGGTGAAATTCACTCATTCGGCGAAGCTACACGCGACGCTGCCCCGAGATCGAAACGTCGACACTTCGCGAAATAAACGACGTATTGTTTGAATTTAGCACGAGGTCGATAACTTCCTACGAGGGTTGGAGCTGCGACAAGGAGCGCCCACGGAAATCTCGTCCGCCCTCAGCTTGTCGATCAGCAACGTGATTTGCACGATCATAATGGGACTGCGCTTCCACCACGGTGACCCGCAATTCAAGAGGTTCATGGACCTCATCCACGAGGGCTTCCAGCTCTTCGGCAGCGTGGCGGTCGTAAACTATATACCGATACTGCGTCACCTGCCGTTCGTGCATCGAGCCCGCGACAAGATCGCGCAGAACCGAGTTGAGATGGCTGCGTTCCTCGAAAAGATCATCGAGGAGCACAAAGTCACCTTCAACGAGGATAACATTCGCGATCTCGTGGACAGCTACCTGCTCGATATCAAGCGAGCTAAAGAGGAAAACCGAGTGGACCAGCTCGTTTACAAAGATAATCCCGGTGAGTGAGAATCGACCTTTCCGTCTCCCGATTTCTCCGAAAAGGGAGAAATTCCCTCCCCCTTTCCCGTTTTCCGCCGTCTTTTACATATCGTTAAAGAACAACAGCATTGATTAGATAGCGTTGAGATAGCATTGATAGCATGAAAATTGCATACTTTAACAAACTCGTGACCTTCGATATCCACTTCACGTTACAGTATCATCGTCGAATATTCGTATCGGCGATCTCAAAATATTGAACGTGTTTTGTTTCTCTTCCATCGGTACAGATCGTCACATACAACAAATCCTGGGCGACCTCTTCTCGGCTGGCATGGAGACGATCAAGACTACCGTGGAGTGGTCGGTAATTCTGATGCTGCACCACCCGAAAGCGGCGAAGGCGGTGCAGGAGGAACTCGACTACGTAGTGGGAAGGTCGAGGATGCCCTCCCTGGAAGATCTTCCCTATCTTCCGGTGACCGAGGCGACTATCCTAGAAGTTCTGCGCCGAAGCAGTATCGTACCGCTCGGCACCACGCATGCTCCCAAAGGGTAAATGAACTTATCAATTCTCCTCCGCTAACTTTCGACGAAAATCGTTTTCGTCATCGACTTCGGCCCGGTCTGTCCTACATGAGCGCGCATGGGCCGCCGGCCCTTTCCCTTTCTCTACGTGAGCCAAGAGAGGATTTCGCAACGAGTCCCTCCGGCCTTCCTTCTCGGAGGCTTCCCGCGTCGGATATATCGGAACCTCGCGATCGTTTTGGACGATTATATTCGGCGAGCAAAAGTGAAAGCAAAGGTGCGTGGCCCCCCCTCCTCCCGGCCGGCTTTTCAGCCGGGTCGCCTCGCCTTTGGATCCGAAGCGCGCGCGCGCGCGCGAGAGGTCGATGACACCGTTTCCCATACGGACAAAGAACTTATTTGAGTCACGACGACAGGTATATCGGATCGCGATATATCGGATATACTTGTTGGGATTGTGCATGAAAGCAGAGACCGCCATTAGAAACGGCACGGGCGGTACACACGCGGTTTCACTTCTTCGCGGAGAACGCGGCCAGAAAGAGCGTGACGAGCGCGTGTAAGAAAAAAGTCACGTTGGTACTTGACTTCACCGGCGGATTAATAGTCGCCCGTGTTACTCGGCGAGACCGTCGAAACTTTACAATTACCGTGAACGTTAAATGTGAACGCGATCGTCATGATGAAACTTCGAGTTTAAACATGTCGCTCCTTTTTCTTGCCATTTTTTTCACTCAGAGAGGGAGATGCCTCTTTCGTAAAAAATTAGATCAATTTTACCGGCGATTTGCACGGTCAGTCGACAAATGCGTCTCAGCGCTCTCGTTTCTCTCGAGTTTTCTTCTCAATCAATTTCTGTTATCGATTGTTGTTATCTCTTACCATCAATCGCGACGTTCATGAATACATCAAGCCTGATCAAGCGTCTCCTTCCTTCGTGTTACAGAGACACGACGTTGGGTGGTTACCTCATACCAAACGGCGCTCAAGTGATACCGCTGTTGCACGCCGTCCACATGAATCCGCAACTGTGGGATGAACCGGAGTCCTTCCGGCCGGAGCGTTTCCTGACCTCCGAGGGTAAGGTCCACAAGCCCGAGTTCTTCATGCCTTTCGGAGTCGGCCGGCGAATGTGCCTGGGCGACGTGCTGGCCCGCATGGAGGTCTTCCTATTCTTCAGTTCGCTGATGCACACCTTTGACCTGAGGCTGCCCGAGGGCGCTCCGCTGCCGAAACTGAAAGGTATCTCCGGCGTCACGATGACGCCGGAACCCTTCAAGGTCTGTTTGCTGAAGAGGAACTTCGACCATGCGGCCGAATGCGACACTAACGAGATCACCGTCAGTGGACCTCTGCGTAACGTTGGCAGCCATTAAAAGCATCCTCGGCTCCAGAGCACGGACATTGTTCCTATCGCCGGAGGAAGAAGGTCAGATGAAAAAAAAAAGATTTGCAAGTTGCGTGCTGATATTGCAGAGCCATCCGCTATCGCATTAATCGAGACGGAATTCTATAAGGATATTTGGTCGATGTTCATTGTCGGAGAACGATCGAATGTGATGCGGCGTGAAAGCGAGTTTCCAATCCGAGAACGGCATTTTCGAGACTGTCTCGATAGGCAAAAATGCAATTTTATTCAAAATTTATCCCAAATTTTACAAAAAATTATGAGAGAGAGAGAGAGAGAAACGTTCTTGACGAGCGAAAAATCGCTTAATTTTTTTACTGTCTTATCATGGCAAAATTAAAAAAAATAAAGCAAACTAAATATATCAGATCCTTTTGAGATATATATTCACTAGAATTAGATTTACGATAGCCGAGCACGGATATATTATTGCGTAAATAAATTATTGGTTGGTTGATGCAATAAATTCTTCAAAACTAATTCTTTTTCTCTCTCTCTTTTCGGCTTTATGGTAGATCGCGGAGAAGAGATATACCGACGAATTTGTTACGTCGGGAGTCGAATTTTAATCGTCAAGATAATATTATGTCATCCGCCATGTTCGATCGGCGAGTAAAAAAAAATTCCTTCCGCTACGGACAATCGATCGTCTTCCGGCATCCAAGGTAGTTTTCCTAAGGAATGATTCGAATGGAGTTGAATGATCCTCCGAACAGAAATTAGAAGTTACTGGAGAAATTACGCTATTAGTAGAATAGAACCGTATATGCTAAGATTAGGCGTAAGAGATTGTAGATTTCTCGAGTGTATTGCTTGATGTGCCCCCGCCACAGTTTTGGTGCGACGAGACCTTAAAATCCCACTTCCACGATCAGTCGCTGATCCCATTACCGCCGATCCTCATTACTAACGAGAACGTTCTCCACTGACTTTAACATTTCTGTCGGTTAACGTCCGTTTAAATCTCCGTGGGTACGACCTCGCCATACCAGAAGGGTGGCTTCTTCTTTATTATGTCAAATTAAACGATTTCGATCGGGGATTAATTTCGAAAGGAAAAAAGAAAAAAAAAACGAAAAGAAAAACAAAAGTCACAAAAAAATAAATAAATACCAAATCATCGGTAGCGTGTCGTCTTTCATATCGCGGGCATCATCGAGCTGCCACGAATTGATAATCATGACACCGTTATTACGATCCCGTTAAAAATTCTGAACTAACACCTCCCTGGCGGCTCGCGCCGGGACCGTAAAAATGGTGAATAATTTTCTCGGTTTCGAGAGTAACTTTTTTTGTGCGAAAGAGCGCGAAGGAGGATCAATCGGATGGTCGAAGGAAGACGAAAGAGTCCTCTTCGGCGACGGCTTAGAGTACAAAAGGAGCCTACGGTTCGAATCGACTCTCCCTAATCCTGCCCATCCTCCCGTCACCACTGACTCACTTACTCACTCGCTACTTCAACCGCTCGTTCGTCCCCACATCCTCTCCCACGAGTATTTATTTATAACGCTCCGCGAACGTTACTTTTTATGCCTGCTTCTTCTTCTTCTCCCCCTCCCCAGCTCCTCTTCTCCTCCTCGCCCCTTACTCCTCGCCAGATATTTATTCACGCTTAGTCACTAGATCGGCGAGATCGACGCGATCTCGGCGTGTCAAACGGTTTCGACAGGCGACTTCGCGTTTCCCGGCGAGTGACGTCGGTCGTTAATTCGGGCATACGCGACCTGACGAAACCAGCGTCACGATCCAGAACGCCGCCGACTCGCCGTAGATCTCCACGGACGAACGAGGGTGGCAGCTTGTTGCTCGATGCACCTCTTTCGTTCACATCAACGTAGCAATATACCGTCGTTAAGATAGAGAAAAAGAAGTGAGAGAATGTCAGTAAGACTATGTACGAGCGAGGAAGATATATGTGTGTGTGTGTGTGTGCACGTGCGTGCGTGCGTGCGCGAGCGTATATCCATGTGTGTATGCCCATATGTGTATATAGATGACATAGATTCATCACAAATGATCATGCGTGAGCATGCGTTTGCCGTGTGTGTGTATTTAATGATTTAATAGCCGGTCGACGAGACGAATCGCGTGCCTACCAAGACGAGAAGGCGAGAGACGACTGCCCTCGCACCCGAGACCACCCGTCGATATCGACGCGGCGTCAGCGTTTTCTAACGACAAAACTACCGGCTCCTCGAGCGACACGAGCGGAGGGGGAGGCGATCGGTCGCACCGATCGAACGCACTGTCCGCGCACCGAACCGGACCGGGAACGATTTTCGTGAAAGTCGCCGACAGATTCCGTTGCGACATTTGCCATCCGGCGGGGCGCGGCGCGCGACGCCTGGTCGGAAATAGGATGGATTATATCGGCACCGTTCGATATCTACCGATCGGCTCGGGTGCGAGTGCGGGCAAAGGCTGTGAATCCAAGACATCCGGGATACACGGTCGACGACTCATTGTGACGTCCGATTTCCCAAAGGTATCCCAGGCTGTGCATCCTAGAAGCGACGAGCGCAGCGCCGACGCCGATCCCGTCCCCCGAGAGGCGCTCGACTTCGAGACGTCAACATTGTGCCTTACCCTTTACTTAGTACTCAAACGACCGGCGGGATCGGCGCCGTGTCCGATAAAGCTCCGTCGTTCGAGAATACCCGATAGGACCTCCACTGGGTCCTACCGCATCATGCACGAGTTCTACCGATTCGGAAGTACCGCATTGTGTTCACCCGTCGATCGCAAACCTGTGTTATTTGATGTTTTTTTTTTCTATCAAATAAAAATGTTTTTCAGTTAAGATAACTGTGGGAGTCCCCGTGGTCGATTTCTTTCAGTCACCCCGCCACCATCGCGCGAATTGAAATCGGGGGGAGGGGGGGGGAGGCGGATTCCAGTGTACAGGGTGTCGCGACACACGATTGGTTTAAGACCCTTTTATTTGTCGCCGCCATTTCTTCATCACAAGACGAGATAATTCTTCGCGTATCACCGTGCCGATGCGCTACGTGAGAACTTCACAGAGGCTCGCCTTGTCGAATGTCCGAACGGGTGTACGTCGCAATCCTCGACGGTGGCGGACGCTCGGCGGACGCTCGGTGGAGTATTCCGAGAAATCGAATTCTTCATCGATCGTTCCCGCGAAAAATTTCGTCTGGAAACTGCAGGCACACATACACACGAAAACCGGATCCTTGAAGACGAGCGAAAGAAGAAAAAAAAAGAGAAGGAAAGAAGAAAAAGGAAAGACTTCTGGTTCTTCGGCTGCACCATCGGCCTTCGACTCTGATCTCTGATCTGAGCGGGCGCGTTCGTCCCTTCCTCTGTCGTCGCTCTCGGTACACCGAGAACTCTTGCTCGGGGCCTACGAAAGAGGACCTAGCTTTCTCTTCCACTGGACCGCTCTCGCGTTTGGTAGGACACTTTTTTTTTTTTAATTTCTATAGTCGGACATTCTAGGATGCTGCGTCCAAAAATAGCATCACGAGAAGTGGACACGAGATCCCGCTGGATTACGAAAAAGGCCGTAATCGAGCCAAATTAATGCCATCCAAGAACTCCAACTTGTATCCTTCGTTAGAATGTTCTCGTGAGATGTAAATACGTACGAGTGTGAATATATTTGTGCTATATATTTGTGCATTAATTAATAAATTAGAATAAGCAATTTGGATCGCGTTGTATTCGTGTCGGTTGTATCGTCCGAGTCGCCGTCCAAAAGACTTTTATTTCCATAGATTCTCGCGGCGAGATTATCTCGATACTCGGGGAAACTCATCTCGTCTCTCTCGCGAGGTGGAACTTCCGCTGTGTGTCGACACTCATAGAAAATTATCGTTGTTTTCGGCATCGAGCAGATTTTACGGTAGCAGCAACTCGCGCGTAAGATCATTATCAGAGACATTGTAGTAACACTTACCGCAGAAATGGCTCTCTCGACTATTTTTGTGGTCAAACACATTCGAAAAAGGATTATGCTTGGCGCCGAAAATAACTATGATTTTTTTGCCAGTGAAAGCACACGAATATCATTTCCACCTGAAAATGATCATTTGTCAAGTCGACGCGCGTACGTATCTCTCGGATATTCGCTATCGAGTTGTTCCGTCAATTGGAAGCGTTCATTCGCTCCCGAGCTTTCGGCGATTCCCGAGGCGGTTCGCGAGATTTCTCGATTTTTCACATGCTTCGTTCCCATCCATCCACATCGGCAGGGGCCGCGAGTACGACAGTAATAGTAAAATTCACGCGGCACCGCGGAGAGCGCTTGCAGAACGGGGTACGAGCGCTTCGCTTCGCGCGAGCGCTTACATAAGAGAAACTCGCGCGTCCTGAGTTTCTAACGAAATATATCGTCGCCGGGTACATTACGCCGGGTAAGGTTAATGACACGAAAGTCAAGTGGCCCCAAACCGCACACAAGTTACGTAAGGTCAGCTCGGCCGGCCACCGGTACCGTCCCGGGGACGTACACTGATAATGGCGCGTTTCCTGCAATATCGTGCACGTGAAAATGCAGGTAGGTATCACATGGTGCAGGTTGCGTCACATGTGTGCGGCCGCGACACGTGGCGCGTTGCTTGGCTCTTCGCCGCGAACGGTCCCTTCTTCTTCCTTCTTTTTTTCCTTCCTTTACCTCGGGCTTTGATACGCGACTTCTTTTCGTGGTTTCTTCTTCTCGACTCCGGAGAGTCGGTCGAGCGTCACCTGGCCCGCAGCGTAGCAGCGAAAACGGTGAAGAAAGTTTGAAGAACCGTTGCTCCCGAAGGTTCGCCTCGACGAGGTAGGAAGAGGAGGCGTTTCTTATTTTCTTCCTTTCCTTTTTCTTTTTTTTACTACCCGGCACACAAAGTTGAAAGTATGCTGATAGAGCGGCTTTATATACGGGGAACGAACGCGTCCGTCTTTCTCCGGATTAAAGTTGCGCGACGCGATTTCGTCGTGCGGTCGACGTCGAGCCGAGAGAGATATTAGAAGTTAATCGGCGCTTTCCAGATGAGAATCGAGATCACTTTGCGGCTCAACATCCGCCGATGTTTGCGCCACGTTTCATACGCGCTCGTACGCTTGCTCCATCTCCGGGATGAAATTTACATTCACCGTTGTCGCGCGAGCTCGTTTAATTGTTCAGCCGTTAACGCGCAAAAGAGCTGTCTCGTCAGCTTTCGTTGCTTGCACTTGAAAAAACAAGTGACAGTCGAGCGAAGCACGCCGCAGAGAAGCAAGTCCGGCGAGCGAGCTGCGAGATCGATTGATTTACGAGCGAATTTTTTTGCGCCGGTTACGCAATCCCGCGCGTCGTACATTATGCTGTCGAGCAAAACGGCATTAACAACGCTAAAATGCACGAGTGAATTAGCACGTAGGTAAGAAAAAAAGCAGGAAGAGACCTTCGGATGCGTGCATCGAGGCAGAGCCTCGACCTTTCGGACGAAAACCCATCCCGGGAGTTGTTTTCTCCGCGGTGTTTTTGCGCCTCTCGATGCGACTCGTAGGAGGAGGAAACGCATCCAAATTCGGCGGTGGGTGAACGGTGCGCGCGATTATAGTTCAACCAAGGCCGCTATATTGTGAGAAAAAAACGCGCGTTGCATAACTTCAAGCGGAATCTCACGAATCTCCGTGCGTATGGCGCGCGAGAAGAAGAAGAAGAAGAAGAGAGTCCGAGGGAGGAGGGAGCGACGCGAAGACAGGCGGCATAGTTTATGTAAAATCATTTCCCGATGTAACAGCGGCTGACATTTTAACGGCTTTTTATGCCTCCGTATCGGGAATGCGCGTGAAGGAAAAAAAAAGACCGCGTCGACGCTCTTCGCGAATATAAAATATACGAGCGAGGTGTGCGCGCGCGAATAAATTCCGCTCCATTTCCACGGGGCAGATATTTTCTCGCGGCTCACCTCGCGCTTTAATCAAAGCGTTTCTTTTAATGTCGGTCGACCGAAATACTCGGCGGCGGTGGTGAAATTCAACTGTCGGGCTTCGCAATCGCGACGTTTATTTGTATATTTCTTACAAAAAAAGTACAAAGTATATCAAATAATAAAAGAGATATTGGAGGAGTGAGATCTAACGAGGTGAGTATCGGAATCATTTTCTCAATTGAATCTAATACAAATACTTATATCAAGCGAAAAAAAAGCGTACATATATATATATATATGTGTGTGTGTATGCATGTGTACGTATGTATGTATGTGTACGTATGTATGTGTGCGTGTGATGATATGTGTATGTGTGTGTTATATGTATTCTCAAGCATTTTTAGAGAGTGTCGCATAACATGTCATACGTATGAGAAAATATCGCTGTTTGCGAATGTATGTAAATTTATTCGCGCGACGTAAAAACCAACCGATGCGGTTTCGGAACCAGGGTGATCCCACATTCGCCGTCGAGATCGATGCACGCGTCGGACGGTGCCGAGATAACGAACGAGCGAAGTATTTTCGCAGCGAACAGGTACAATATCATCCGGGCCAGTTCGTCGCCGACGCACATACGTTTGCCTGCGCATACCGCAAAAAACAGCAACGACACATTGAACGAGGAGCTCTGTGCGCTTCTGATTATCTTTTATTTCCATCTTTTCTTTTCCCCTTATATCTCCTCGCGTGCAAACTTACCCGCTTGAAAAGGCAAGAAGGCTTCCGGCCTGGCGATACTTCCATCCTGCGCGATAAATCTCTCGGGTTTAAAGCGGAGCGGCTCGTGCCAGTAAGAAGGATCCGTATGAATAGCCCATTGCAACGGGATGACCATCGTGCCTTTTGGTACATCGTAGTCGCCTATTTGTGTGTCCTAAATGCGCGAACCGTTTCGAGTTCATCTCCATTCCTATTCTTTATGTCAACCATGTAAGATTTAGCCACGATTTATCGGCAAAGAAGACCTCTACGGTTAATCACCAATTATGCTCAGATACACCATTGATTTTCGCGAAAAGAAAACAAATTATTTAGCAACGAATTATTTCAATGTAAAAATCAAGATGACAAGAAGGCAAATAATAGGCCTAACGCCGATAAACGACTGTATTGATATAAACGGTTGTAACTGTACATACACAGAGAAAAAGGTATCTTTAGTATACGTATTTGTCCGACCTCTGTTTTTCTCTGTGTAGATGAAGCAATTGTTTATGTCAATATAGTTGTTTATACATCAGTCTCTCACTTGCCTTGTAGTTGACCTTCGTTTACATTTTATTTCAAACTATTTCAGGCATTATTGAAGGAAAAAAGTTGCGGGCAATGTTGTCGTAAACTTTTTTGCTCAGCTCAGCTGGTGGTTACCTGCGTTGTACCGTGAGGAATCCCAACCGGGGTGACACTTCGCAATCTTTGTATCTCCGAGATGGCCGCCTCCAGTCGAATCAAAGCAGGTCTATCCGTCAAACCGGGCTGTCTTTGTCCCAAAAGTTCGCTCATCTCATCCTGAATCTTTTTCTGCGGAAACAAAAGACACGTGCAGATCACGAAGGGATCGTGCGACGAGGCGTCGAACGACGAGATGACGCCTGCTCGCATTTTACAAAGTTACGATGTAATTTGAGGAGCACAAGCGTACTTGCTCGTCTGGATGCACCGCCACGAAGAGCAGGAGCCAACGAAGAGTAGTCAGAGTAGTATCGACGCCGGCGCCGAAAAGATCGGCCAACAGATGATAGAACTGCGGTCGCGTGAAGTATCCAGCATTGCCCGCGTCGGTCCTGTTCCTCATTTCCTCGTCGAAAGCCGCGAGAAAGCTGTCCACCTTTTCACGTCGCGCACGATGCTCGTCGATGATTGTTTCGTACAAACGGTGTGACTTTAGCTTGCCATCGATCAGCGACTCCATCACCTTGCCGTATCGTGGCAAAAATCTATATAGTCAGGCGAATCAGGACAATTTGATTTTACAATCGCAACCTTCGGTCTAAGGACATTTCATCGATTGTTCCTTTCAATACTTGCTTGATCAATGCAAATTCAACGCATTCAAACAGAAGTTATTCTACGCATTATTTTTTCCTCACAAAGATTTATATTTCCCGGTATTGTTTACTTCGATTTATCGTATCACCTGTGCGACTGTCGTCGATGTACAGTACAAAAAAAGAAACGATTGCTTATCCTTGCGAACTTATCGTCACAAGAAACGCCGCTTCCGATGGAAAACATTATGGCATTTGCATGTCAGACGCGAAATGAATCATCCTCATATCATTGACGTCTTAATTAGCCGTGCGAATCAATTTGCTCGGCGTTTTCCACGCTGACATAATCAGGTTTATCTTTCGTTAGCGAGGCGCGAAGCATATCGCGCGAACCGACTCCGTCGCGGGCCGGGAAGGCCCGAAGGATCTTTGTCAAGGATGTACCTGAGAAACGGCAAAAAATTCAGCGGCCCTGCGACTCCGATGTGCTTGACTCCTTCTTCCTGCAAGTGCCTCAGCCACCTCCACACCTCGTCATCCTCCTGGTAAACTTTGCCGAAGACGAGGTCGTTCATCAAATTACCCATGCAGTGATGAAGCGTCTCCAGTGGGTCGATACCGTCGACCGTCGCGCGACTTCTTAGTTTCTGAGACATCAATAAGGGATTTCTGTATCGTCCATATCCGCTTTATTTTCGACGTGCACACTGACAACTCAGCTAATGTGAAACCCCTTCGGGAAACGTGCAAAGGTATCTCCTCGCGAAACTTACTCTCTAAACTCCCTCGAGTGAAATTTTTAAAATCAGTGGCCAGCGAATCACTCCGAGTGATTTTTCACTCATACGGAGTGAATTCTCCATTCTGAATCGTAGAGTGAATAATTTCATTCGAAATCGAACAGTGAATCCGATGTGTTCCGTCGTCATAGGAAAGTATTCACTCTAATTGGTCGAAACATTCGTTCATATGGAGTCGAAATCCGCCGTAAGTTTGAGTGAAACATCCATTCTTGTGATTTCGAGCGGCAGTATTTTCACTATTCATTGAGTGAAAATATTGCCACTTCTTTCACTCGTTCTGAGTAAAATTCCACTTCGGGAAATTTAGAGAATATACGCGTATATAACGAGAATTATCGGGCAGAAATTCTTGCTCCTTTCGCGTGACATCGCGCAATAATTGTTTCTGTATTTAAATACCCGAGCGAACCGATGAGCGTCGAAATGCCATGGAAATTGATAGCTTCATTAAATGCGATGACATTTCCGAAAGATAAGTTCAGTTGCATCGTAACACGAGTAACCTGCGAATTCTCGTGTGAGTTTATCATTCGCAGCGCGAATATTCCTCGTGAAACTATATTCGGTTATATCGGCATATTTTTTGCGTTCTTTTTTTCTTTCACAGTGAAATTTAATGACACGACGGCCTTGCGTGAAATATCGTAGTCAATAATATACCGATATGCATTCGTTCACGGTCGCGAGAATCCTCTCTTCCATCTTGTCCCTCCTTGTGCCAAACTTTACCATGCCGAGATTCTTTAGGCATCCTGCTACGAATCTTCTTTGATCTTTCCAGAGATCACCTTCCGCACAAATGAGACCTGCGAGGATAAAGAAACGCTTGTGAAAACTTGGAAGGGATTTTTCTTTTCTCTCTGATTCTCTACCTCTCTCATTCTCTCTCTCTCTCTCTCTCTCATAGACAGCAAACCGAAAGTTGTATTAGTATTTTTCCACCTGTCGCAAAGGATCTTCGCAAGGTGGCTTCCCTCATAAAATCCTATTTTAGCAACTGAGATGCCAAATTTCCAGTTCTACGTTCCCTCCAGATTCTACAGGTCATATACTTTAAATACCTTAAGCCTCTTTCAAACGGTCCAAGCTGAGTAGCAAATACTACACTATCTCTGGTCAATATAAGAGCGCATATCATACCGCAGGGATCCTGAATCGAAATTTTGACGCTACTCTGATGTTCTTAAGGATAGTTTGCGCCTGTAGATTAATAAAAACCTACTTCGATGATACTGATATATATTTTTTAACTTCTCTTTATTTCTATAATTTTCCAGATTGGATTTTAATGTTACTTTCAACAACCTATTTTGACGTTAAAATAGCGAAAACGAAAATGTGAGAGATCATCAGGATCCAAGTAGAGTTTTCATTATATTACTCGAATTGAAAATGAACCTATTTTCTTATTAGCTCCTACTATGTTGTAGAATTAAAGGTTTAAAATTAAAGTTTGACACAGGGCCAAAATTTGGACTCGGAATCGGTGCTAGATTTCCTTCTGTTTCTTTGCACCTTTCTCACTGTTCCTTGTCTCTTCTAATTTACACGTATATACGCATTGACATAGCTGAGTAAAGTAAATATATATATGCTATTATAATCAAGTCAATAATTGTGAACTATAGAATTGCTCAAACCCATTTATTAATTTCTCGTAGCGCTCTTAAGGGGAGATCACTCTAATATCCTAATAAATTATGTTACCTTTCTCTCCCTCCTCCTCGTCCCTCTCTTCCTCTCTTTCCGTCTTTTATTTTTTTTTATTTTTTCGGGAAGGCGATTCTCGTCGCGCCTTAGTCGCACGGTCATAAATAAGCCGCCACCCGAACGCGCCTCAGTCGCGTTCCCTCCTGCGTAGAAGCTCGAGCAGAGCGCTTGGTGGGAGGGTATAAAAAATAGCGAGAGGATTACCGTCATTCCGTAAGTAGGCGCAGCCACTGAACTCGCCGAAGGATAATCCTCGAATGAATAAACAATAATCTCTCACCGCACCCACTCACCGTTCGTCCTGCGTTCGCGCGCGCGCATTCGCGAGATAATCCAGGCGGCACGGTGATCGTCGATTAATAGCGATCGTGATGGTTGATTAAAGATGACGGCGATAGCGACACGGAGTGCTCCGTGTCGACGCACCGTCCGCGGTGAGTACCTTCTATTTCGCAAAACGTCACCTCGTCCGTTCCCTTCGGTCGCGCTCTCCCGATTACCTTCCGTCCGCACGCGAGCGCTGCCTGTCATTTCAAGCGAAATGCTAATGAAAAGAATCGCGCGATCGGCGGAACGATCGATCGATCATCGACTGGGCGTGATTTTCGCGCCACTGTTGTGGCGGAAGAAGCCGTCCGGCATCGGCGAAGAAGCCGCATTAGGTCGTTGGTATTTACCGGTCGCCGAGTGCGATGCAATCGGACAAATATTTGCCCGGTCGCACCTACGTGCGAGGCACCATCGCGGAGGCGCACCAACTCCGGTGATATAACGATAACGATAGCGGCTCGTTTGGCCGAGGCTGAGAGAAAAATTCAAGAGTGATCTTCGTTACGAGGAGGAGAGACGGGGACTTCGCGACGGAGCTTGGGGGCACCTTCGCCGCCGCGACGAAGGTGTGCCGTACGTGTGCATCTACTTCGTCAATTTTGCAGCCAGATCACACACGCGAGCGTCGCGAGAATGATCTCGGAATCCTGATTATCGCTCAATGAGATTATCGAGGTCGGCCCGCCGCGGGAATACAGATCGAGATCTTTGGCGCGCAATTTGTCAGACGCTGTTTTCTCTCTCTCTCTCTCTCTCTCTTCCCTTTTTTTTTCATTCTGTATCTTTATTCTCCCTTTTAATTTGCGCGATCAGATCGGCGCCGTCTATTCGGCCAGCGCGCGAAGCGGAAGAAAGGGGATCCTAGCCGGCGGATTTTCGGCGGGAACGCTTCCGCCGGGAAGAGGAATTCCGCGTGCCGGCAGCCACGGGCGTTTTTGCGAATTTATAGGGTTCATCGCGAGCGGAGAAGCAACGCCGGCACGGGCTACAAATAGGTTAGCACGCGTAGTGTTTGCGACGTTATTTATCATTCACAGCTTGTCCCGAAAGGCCGCCGATAGGTCAGTGTCGTATTTAAATGACGTCAAAAAACTTTCCGGGATCGCAGGCGCGCCGTGTGTGCATTAATCTCTCTCATCGGCGGTCGATCGATCTTGAAAATCGTGTCAACCGGCGAGAGATAAAATATCGCGACACTTATGGCCGAACTTTCGAACGTTCCGCTCCTCGTGTCCCCTCCGTAGAAACGTCACACGCAACTGTTATCTTTGTTATCTTTACGAACTTCTTCCCGCGCGACTCGAAGAATCTCTTCTTTGCATTCATTACTTCTTAATCACCGATCAGAACGCGATACCTCCGTCCAGCAAACGATCCAGCGCGAAAACAAGCACATCGTGCGCCGCGCTGGCTTTAAACGCTTTATCATTGCCCCGTGATTGCTTCGTAGCTGAAAACGCATCAGTCTCCTTGCATATCTTTACTTTGCTTATCTTTGCAGGATGCGAAGCGATACCGTCCCAATTAGGAGGCGTTATAAATCGCTGTAAAATGCGAAGCTGAACGTCACGTAACGCAAAATTCAACACTCTCTAAATTACATCGAAATATCCCGTATAAACGAAGAAAGAGAGAGGAAGAAAGAAAGCAACGGCAGGCGGCGGGCAAGTACGGTTTTGTTATTCCGCGAGCGTAACGCTGAATAATTCTTCGCAACTTCGCGAGGCGCGCGCACAGTGCTTCAACTTCGCGATGCATCCGCGCGATGCTGACGCGATGCGCAGCTACGGACAATGAGCTCTCCTTGCCGGCCGATTCTTACGCAACTAAACACCCCGCCGCGGTGATTTCAGGAGATGACATCACTCGGACTCGGCGAGGAGGCGCGCACACGAATTCGCGAACCGCCAGAAATAAACCGGACGAGAGACGCAGATAATGCATATATGCGTCCGAACGTTTCAGGGCCGGTCATTCCACCTCGACCACCGGCAAAAAGCCGATGAATGCAGCGCGCGAGAAGAAGGCGACACGCGATAGCCGTACGTCCAAATACAGCCGGTCGATCGATCGCGCGTTTCACGCCGCGGCATTAAAATACCGGGATAAGCGCGCTCCCGGTCAGTCCACGTATGACTATCCGATAATGATCGCACGGGACTGCACGTAAGATTTCCGAAGAAGGCGCTGGTAGGGAGATTCGGAAGTTCTCCTCGTTACGTTCGAGCGTATGTTGCAACTCGCGTCGTTGCGATGCGCTCGATCGAGTTGCTAATAGCGAGTAACTTTCCGACCGTCAGATTCGACAGTCGAATCAATCAGATGGGATGTACTCGGCTCGACGAACGTCGATTAGCAATGGAAAGCTGAAGATCGCTCTCCTTAAATCAAGACGGTCAGGATCATTCTGTGAACGTTGCGTACGCTAACGTTGTCGCGCTTTCAAGAATCGAAGGTGCGTTCTTTTCTTAACGCGTCGCTGCGAGTCCCGAAGTGACTGGATTATCGGGGACCTCGGATTTCCCATGAAAATGCTGTCCTGCGAATCCAAGAAGTTCCACAGTCGGATCCGTGAAATAGGACTTGATCGAAGTGCGACCGGGACCGATTTTTTCGCAGGGGATTCCGCGGGTCTCAATTAATTGCGCGAACGGGAAAACTGGAGGGAGGACTCCTGGAGCGATCATCGGCGACCTTCGGGCGCGTAGGTCGTGACAGGTCGCCGATGTGAACGCCGGTCGTCCGTGCAGCGCTCTGTCGCTCTTAATGGGAGAGGCCGTCGGCCCGTCCTTGCAGAGCTAACTGTAATTCCCCGCAGATGCAGAGCAGAACCGTCGACGACCGGGAGAACTTCCTTCAAGGAGACCGATAAAAGTGAGAGTCCTTCGTATTGGTGCGAGTCGCGGCCGGTTCCCGGCTCGTTCTGACGTACCTAACCTACCCAATCGCGGATGAACCGTTCGTTACGAAAACGGGAAAAAGAATAATGGACCCCGAAGGAGGAGCCGGGGCTCATCAAACTCGCCTCGTCGATGCTCGATCATCAGTTAAGAGGGATTCCGCTTGCGGATAAGCAATTGAGATTCGGCCCCGATTATCCGTCGAATTGTTAATTAACGTCGCTCGGTGGCTTGAAAGAAATTAACGCGAAACTTCAAACGTGTTTTTCTTTTCTTCGACACTTCGAGGCACAAATTAATTTATTTCTCGGTGACTCTCGTTTGCCCTGAATTTCTCTTAAATGTTTCCAGATGTTCGAGAATTCTCGGACGTGGCCAATTTCTGATTGTTAGATCGAATATGACAAATTGTCTGCAGTTGTAAAATTAATCGATATGCCTTAGTAATTACGTAAAATGTATGAGAGAAAGAGAGAGAGAGAGAGACACGCGCAAGTTCGTCGGCGTCAAGGGTACTGCGTGGCGAGCACGATCGCCGTGAGGGGAAAAAAATGAAATTCCACCCACACCCAGCCGCGCTCGAAGGAGGAAAACAAGCCGTCAGGAAAATCGCGGACATCTTACGTCAGTATTACGCGTTTGTAATACGCCAAACGGGAATAGTCTCGCTTGGGAGCTCGCTTGTAATATTGATTTTACACGCGCGCCTGACTGCATCGCAGTTGAGTCAGTGCTGTGGTATGCCGAGTCTGATTACCGATCGGAGCTGCGACTTTTCCACAACGATGTAGATCATCTGCCTGTGCTCGCCTTTTTCGAAGCCGCATAATAGGAGTCTACGTGGAGCTCAATCGAATTCAGAAGAT